AGCTCAATTTACAACCAGGCGTTTTTTTCTCATAATCCGCCCCCACACAAACAGTTTCATTTTCAATATTTTATCAATCGCGAAAACCGATAGGTAAAACAATCGATATACAGTCGATCTGTTTGTCCAGTCCCTCTAGCATCATATATTTTCTTTTTTCAACCTTCGAATTTTCAAACTCCTAGTTTATGAGGCCTTTTTTAACCTTTTGCGACACACTTCAACAACGTGCAATGGTTTCCAGAAAATTGGTGTAACTAGTTTCGAATCAGTACCTTCGATTTTAAAGAAAATAATTCACTGCGGCCCGCAATCGAATAAAGTTAACATAAGTAGTCACTTATTTTACTTTTGTGCAAAGTAATCTACTCACTCTTGATCGAGCGGTCGCTTTACAAGTCAAACGAGGCTGTCCGGTTTGATGGGCCGCCATCGGAGTGCCCGCCATTTTAGTACCCTACTTCCGTTTTAATTTGCAATTAGAAGTAGGATATTCTGGGATTATTAGCTAAGGGATCGAGGAAATACACTTTGCTATTAAATTAAGCACGGTATAAGGTCAGCGAAAATACTTAGCATATATTAAGATGAAACTGACCAGTGAATTATATTGTAACACTAACCAACTCATACTTAAACTTTAAACAGCAACATCAGCATCATAAATTGTAAGTCTGTATTCACTATCCAAAGATAAACATGTTACGATGTTTACCTTTGGATGGTGAATATTTTGTATTACCACAACACATACAAAGTTTCCTACATGTTTGTTGTTGCAAGCTGAACAACAACCTAGCTCCAAAACATCGATTAAAAATCTTGCTCCAACATCAAGAGAAACCAGTTCTAATTTGGGAAAAACAAAGGGTCCAAAGGATCGTTAGGCACTTTGCTTCCATTAGTCGAAATGAAAAGTCGTCTTAAACCCTTAATTGTCCTCGGAACCGCTTCCAACCTTATTGTTTCGCCGAAGTTATTTTTTACGAGCCATCGTCCATCAGAGAAATTACAGAGAAGCAGTATAAAAATATTCGTTTCTTTGAGATATTGTTCTCCATCTTGTTTGCACCTTATTGAATTGGAGAGATCAGCGTAGTGTAAGAATATTTTTGGGATACTTTTAGAGTTACAAATTTAATAAAAGGAAAAATCTTATTTCATGGAATAAAACAAATATGGTTTTAGAGTTTACTTGTTGCTTCTATTATAAAATATTTCAGTAATAATATCACGTTATAATATTATATGTATAGTAAATAGACAAACTATCAGTCGTTATCTAACAAACTTTCAGTCAATGGCACAGCATAAAATGGCATGAAATCTGTTAACGGTGGCTGACTTTCAGTTCTATAAGTGGAGCTCATATCTACTAATGGAACTAATAAATCATTGGACGTCCTTCTGATACGGTAAATATATCCAATGAAAATAGAAAAAGCCAGCAATGAAATACTAAAAATTATACTAGACAATACTTCAACTATACGAATCGGTGGTATTGCAGCTGTCTTCCATTCAGTACAAGCTAATGGTGACCCTAATGTAGTAGAACATACACTTATATTAAATTCCTTAGCACCTAAATATTTTACAGTCATATTCAATGTATCAAAATGAGCACATAATAATTGAGGCAAACAACCACGACTCTCTTCTTCAGTTTGGACTAATGGTAAAATTTGAACAGAATATTTCAATATTGGACCATTTGTCACATCAGGAGGATCCCATTTGATAAATATGTAACCTGTTTCATTTGCTTCATAGTGAGTGAGAGAAGGTATATCAGCTTTTTTAGAACGAAGAGTTCTAACAATGTGTCTGGTAAACCTGCTACAACTACTAGCACAAGAACGTAATCTAAATATATAATCTCTAAATGGTGCTAATCTTTCAACTTTCAGCTCAGTTACTGAACCACTTATTTTAAAAGTTGATGTTCTAACATAATTCCTAAAACTGGAGTTATTCAACAAAGCTTCTTCAAACTGATTACAATCGCCATTTAATGTAGTACATGTATCCATAAAATCTTCAGATTCAGAAATAATTGACTTACAGTTCGGTCCACAATCAATGTAATTTGGTGGAGGTTTCTTTACAACAAAATGAGGTGAACTGTCTTTGTCTTCTGAATAGAAATGTTCAACTATACTGTTATCACAATGGTTCTGTGCTTTTAAATCTTTTACAGGGATTTCTACTAATTTAATATCCAGTTCATGATAGGTAATATAGCGACGATAGTCTTTGTGATCCGCCCATTTTATAAATATTGTGTTAGAAGATAAAGCTACTAGTTCTAATACGAATGGAGGCTCAGGTATCGTAAAAGAAGTCGTAAAATTTTTTAAATCACTTCGGGCAAGTAACGCCTGAAATACATTGTCAGATTGTACATGAACTTCTATACATGCAACATATGTTGTAGCTGGATGTAAATCTCTAATTATCACCTTTTCACGAATACGTTTCAAATTAACATTAGTTCGGACCGCAGACCATTTTGCATCATTGCAGCATTCAGGAACTAAAGTTTGTTTTTTATTAGACACTCGTGTATAGAATATTGTATAAGTTACGTTGTTTCTAGGAAGTTTCGTAAAATGAAGGGAAGCAGCAGATTCATTGACTGCTTTTACAGTAAATCCTAGTTCATTTTCCAAGCACCCACCATTGTATCCATTCATTCCTAAAGGAACGTCACTTTCAGCTGACGCATCTGGAAACTTTTCACTAATATCAATAATTTTGCACATGCACAACTTTGGATTTCTGTAGAATTTCAGTTTTCCTCCGCCAATTAACAAATTCTCCGTCACATTTGGTGTAAATAGGCTTTCAAGGTTCATCATATTGTAAACTACTAAGCTGTAACCACCTTTCATTAGTTTTTGTCCTCCAATCCGATGTAGTTTAGTAAGAAATTCTAAAGATGTAATTGTCATGGAACCATAAATTTCTACATAATCAGCAACTTCTTCTATGTGGCTTAAATACTTTGACATTTCTTCCATAGTTCCAGGAACTGATCCTATATGAATCTTCAATGACCCGTTAATATAGGTGCATCTTTCAGCCATCTGGATGTCGTTTAAAGAATGTATGGTCATACCTCGACATTCCTAAAATCAAAGAAAGGACATTTAGTGTGTCTGTCTAAAAGATTTTTCATAAATTTTCTTGACTAATGATTGTGATACAGCCGGTTCTATCATTTCAGTTAAACAACAGTCTGTAGGAACTCATTTTTATTTAAAGCCTATCAGGATTTCACTAAGGTTTTTACTTTTTTTTTTATTTGTTTAATTTTTTGAATCGGCCATTTCGAAAAGTTTCCACCGAAAACCAGCGCTGTGTCTCCGTCGCAGTATTGCTGAGTTTGCCTATTTCAGTGCAATACACTTTTAGTCTTAAAATCATAATATTGTACTCGTACACATGTATTATGCTAAATAAATTTGTTTTCTTTCTTTCTATCAAGCAGACCCGCCGCGGTCCCGACCCGACCCGCGCACGACCCGCACCCGCTTTCTGCGTGTTTCACGCTTTAATTCTATATTAATGACGCGTGTGGCTACCCGCGCTATTCAACAAGAGTGCACCGCAATATTTTGCGAATGTTTGCGTCCGTACATGGCGCACGGCAGGCGTGCACATTTACTAGCCGAGGTGCTTCATTTTGCATGGAGTTAGACATTACTTGTCTTATTATAATAATTATTCAAACTCTAAACAACTCTATTGATCTTCTAACTTCTTTAGTATTCTTAAGACTTAATAATAAAGCCAAACTACATACTTACCAACCTTTGTAACATAACTGGTATTTGTAGTTATTTCACAAGTGGTATCTTCACCATCAGAATATTTGGTATACCCAAAAGGACAGTCCATTACACAGGTTCCATTCCAAGACCATCCGTATATGGATTTACATTCTTTGATAGTGAGGCAATATTGGTTCGATGGAAGAATGATGCTAGATACAAAACACAATAATGAAATTGAAGTTTAGATCATTAATCATGTTATTGTGTACCAGTATCAAATCGGTCAAGAGAATTCAGAAAAGGCACTAGGTATACTGAGAATTCTTTTAAATTAACAACGAAAATGCTTGGAATATAATATTATGAAAAATTGTTTATGCAAAGATCGTATACGAAGAAAACTTCATTCGATCCGACTGGGTTCGAACCACGCCTTCACTGTACCGCGGCTGACGCTCTCCCAACTGAACTACGGAACAAACAGACCTCACGCGTAAAGGCGCTGGTTTCACATCGAGCCAAATCGAATGAATTTTTCTTTGCGTTCGATCTTTGTAATATATTAATAGTTAGCAATTTCACAAAAAATAATTGAAAAACTTACGTGTTAGAAGGACAATGACTGACACATTTGCCACGGTAGGTGAAATTCCTACACACTAAACAGTTGTCACGCTTACCATGTAGACAGCCTAGGCATTCTGTGTGACAATCCTCCTTCTTAAAGAAATGCTGACAGTTTCTGAAAGTAAACCGACAAAAGGTGTATAATAAAAATGTCAAGGAACGACATTGTAAAGAAATTATTAAAACAAAACATTTGACAGTCGTAATAGTCATTTTGGTGTGAAGTTTTTCGTATTCCGAAGAGAAATCAAGTAAAAATACTTACTCATTATTCCAACAATAATAACTGGTTTTATTCCCACATTGGCAACTCTCGACAATGTCACAATGTGCCTTTACCTCCGGTGAGGACAGAGCGAGTCCGGAACTTGATGCTATGTACTTCCAGTCAATGGATTTTACGTAGCATGTTCGAGGGCCGCCCCACACTGTCACTCCTCCTCGGTCTATTTTGACAAGGTTGAAAAGACCTATCTGGAAGAAATAAAATTGATTCATTCTCATATTTACTAAGAGAGAGATTATAAATTAGTAACTCCGTAATTAAACCTGGAAATAACTCCATAAAGGGACAAAGCAAGATAGTTAAAGTAATTAATTGTAATTGAATGATAAATAAAAATAATGAAAACGTAACGTACAAAAAAGGTACACGGTAAAAAACCCTATACATTATGAATAAATAAAAAAATGTTAATAGCTATAATAAATAATAATTAGAGACATTGAATCTGCACGATAATGAAAAAAGTTGTAATTTTTATCACTTCTTTCAAAATTTTGTTGCTACTATGAATATTTTTGTACTGCTTGCATACTATAAAAGATAAGTAAAGAACTACATTGAGTCTTATTTTATGACCAAATAAACATTTGTAAGGAATCTAACAGAACTTCAGCAGTGAGAAAAAAGAATTACGACGTACGATGAATCATATCATTCATTCAATCAACACGAATTATCAATAGTTAACCTTATGATCAAACATGATGACCTATTTATTGGCAAGTGATAGCTGAGATTAAAATAGATATTAACTATAATTCTAACAGAGAAAATCAAACTGATCTTAATCCGTCACTTGCAATTACCATAAATTATTCAGAGAGGGCACAATTATTGTTATTTATTATATTATTAACATTTTTTTGTTTATTAATAATGTATCGGGTTTTTTACCGTGTACCTTTTTTGTACGTTACGTTTTCATTATTTTTATTTATCATTCAATTACAATTAATTACTTTAACTATCTTGCTTTGTCCCTTTATGGAGTTATTTCCAGGTTTAATTACGGAGTTACTAATTTATAATCTCTCTCTTAACCTTTTTTGTGCGTTACGTTTTTAATTTTTTTTATTTGTCTATCCATTACTATTAATTATTTCAACTATCTTGCTTTGCCCCTTTATGGAGTTCTTTCCAGGTTAAATTACGGAGTTACTAATTTATAATAATTTACAATCACATGTATTGTATTGATTATTAGTATTTAATATGTAATGAAGGATAAGGGTGCTGGTCAAATTACAGGCACATGGGATTTGTTAACTTATATCTCAGGATAACGGGAGCATTGGTAGTACCCCTCCGATCTTTGCGGATTTAAAGCTCTGAGTGGCACTGTATATTATTCGGAAGTACAGTTTTTTCAGGTAGAATTTTAATATGACTGTTTGCTAAATATGATTAATTTTGTCAGTATATTATCTGTTTATTTTTCAGTAACTCATTTTAAAACAGCTTAATTTATATTTCTCTTAACCACAGTTCACTACAATTTATTTTTTTCCGGAACCTTTATTATTTCTCATTTTTAATGTACATCAAAGGACATTTAATTCATTCATTAATAAAGATAACGAAAAAAAACACAATATTACAATATCACAAATAATATGCTCGTACAAAATAAGCTGCCCCATACAAAACGAATGGTCTTATTCCGGTAAAGATAAACTTACAATGAAGCTGATGTTGACATGACATATTGCATGTTGTATTTTTAATATTCGATGACATAGCAATTTTTCATAACTCTCAAAATTATATTACGCTTTTGTATCCAAAAATACTCACTTCTTTGAGATCGGACATATCATGGATTGTCAGAGCATAGTTGTAGAGCAACTCCTGTCCTCTGATTCTTGCAAGGTTTGGAAATATTTTCCCCAAAGTTTCCAAGGCATTCAATCGGTAGATTACTACAAACCCTGTAACCTGTAAACAATAGTAAAATAATACAACAATAATTATAACTTTTTTATTAAAAAAAAAACGACCTCAAACGTTACATCTATTTGCCAAGTTTTATGCACATCGGTAAACGAAAATTGGTGAAATCAAATAAACCGAATTCATTCTCTAATTTGCCATGTTTAGAGGTGGAATAGTTTCTTCAAATTGGAATGGGATAGTAACCCCATTCCAATAAATAAAATAATAAATAAATAACGCACACACTCAACATAGCCCCGCACTAGGGAAACCCTGTGTCGCGGGTGCCATGGACACACACATAAAAAGCCACAAATTACACCCAAACTCACGAGAGAAATAATTGTAGGCCATACAACTATTTCTCTCGCCCCGGGAATCGAACCTGGGACCTCTGCGTGGCAGTCCGGCATGGTAACCGTTCGGCCACAGAGGCAGTTTTTTGTGTCAATGATTCTTTTCTGTTGGAAAGGGGGTACTTTAGTCACTACTAACAAAAAAGAATCATTGAAATCACTTCACAAATGTCGGAGTAATCGCGTAACATACACAAGAAAAAAATAGATTCGAATTGAGAACCTCCTCCTTTTTTAAAGTCGGTTAATAACTACTTCATTACCTAATAATAAGTCAAATACTTTTTAAACTGATTATAGATTCCAGACTGAGAAAATTAAAGCTAATGAATAAAATAGAAGGAGTTCTGTAGGAGACGCCGTGAAAAATCAACTCTATAGTTTTTGCCATATCTATATTGTACCTTATTCTTGTAGTTAACTAATATATTAATAACATTACCATGGACCAGTTATTGGTCCATGATATTACTTACCTCTCTCAAATTGGGCAAAGTAATACCCTTATAAGATTCCTTAGTAGCAGACTCAAGCAAGACTATTCTCAAATTCCCAACCACAACAACACAATTCTTTACCCTCGCAAGTCCTTCGATTGTATTGCAGAATACGTTCTGACAGATACCCAGGGGTAATGTGGAGTTGGTACCGAGGTACTGCCCTGCTGAATGGCTTAGGAGTATGATGAGGAGGAACCTAAAAGAGATGGAAATATTATATTGTAGCTTATTTAGATAATCCTCAAAAGTCCGGGCTGTGACACTGGTTAAAATTAAAAAAAAACCCGTAAGTTAACAACTCGTGGAGAACATTGTGCCCAACCATGAACAACGTATCTCTTGTATATCGTGTTTGGGCACAATAATGTTCCCAAACACAATCCTCTACACTGGCTGATCTAAGGTCAGAACCTGAACTCACAAGGTTCA